TACAGACTCTACCATGGTCAGTATTCAACAGTTTTCCCCTTTACCCATGCCTCTATACAACAGTATACATTTAGTACTTTTAATTCACTAAAGGTACATTTGTCAAGAATACATGCAGGAAAAGCAAGGTAGATGGGGACACGGCTGATTTGACTATAAAAAGGGCATTTCATTGCCCTGCTTGTGATTTTAAACAGCCATTTACTGAGAGGGAAATGTTCATACATCTAAGGGGGCATTTAAGGAAAAAAGAAACCGTTCCCTGTCCATTCAGGGCCTGCACGTTTAAAACAAATGTGTACTCAACATTCAATGCACACAGATGCAGAGAACATCGAAATACCTGTGACTATGATGACAATATAGTGCAAAATGAAGTAAATCTCTCCTACGATAGTGACATTGAACAGGAATCTAGTTGAATTGTCAGATGAAAATTAAACTACCCCTGTCGCAGGAGGTAGCAATGAGAGGTTAGCAGGGCAGTTACAATTCAATCTGTCTGCTTTTTTCTTAAAAATGCAAACTGTTCTCCATGTGTCACAGAAGGCATCACAAGAAATCTTGAACAGTTGTTTTTGCTGTCAGAGCCTGTTGTCAGGGAATCTGTAATCAAAATATGGAAAAAAATAATTGCCCCTTTACTGACACACTTGTCACAAGACAATAAGAAGTAAATGTTTTATACAACAATACCTGACCAGTTTACAGTTTTGATTATAACCAAATCCAGGTAATTTTTGGTAATTGGTGTGTTTGTTTCCCTATGTAGCTCTACTGCAAATTCCATAGGATCACCAATCAAAATCTGCAATTTTCCTTTTTTTCTGTGTTGGATAAATACACATCACAGATGCTGAAATTGTACAAGAAGAAGACGACCGGAAGTTTTGAGAGAGAAGTTGCAGCATGTTGTGACAGTATACAAATAACAGGTAAACACATTTTATTACATTACATTGACAATTTATGTGAACAGCTGACTTAAACATCAGCTAATGTATTCTGTATATTTGTTCAAAAGGACAAGAACACATCACTGCAGCCAGAACAGCAGCCCTTGCCGGCCTAACACTGTACCTGAAAGAGGATTCGTCAGACATATTCAAGATCTGCACAGTAATTCTTTATTCTCCTACTATGTCCATACCTCAAAATTTGAAACTGAAACATCACTGAACATCTTTATTAGAAACTGCCTTATACGTTCCTTTTGAGCAGTTCACTGTTATCAGTTGTCACTGTTTATGTCCTTTCACTCTTTAGGTCTGTGTTTTCATCAACCCTTTATGTACCAGCTAAAGTAACGTCTACAGTTGCACCATATTCGTTTGAAAAAATATTGTACAAAAACATACAATTTCTGTGTTAAAGTCTTACCAGGAACAGTCTACTGCATTTAAGGTTGTAAAAAATTAGTTACATTGCGCATGTTTTTCCATGTGAGAAGCATGTTGCTCAATAACAGAGTAAAAAACAGAGTTTCCCTCAGGGATAAATAAAGTATATAACATTATTTTATCTTTTGTTCATAAGTTTGCATGTGCATGTCTATAATTTTATCATGCCCATATGTCTAAATTTACACAAAGACTGGAAGTTGCCTGGATCATTACTCAAAATAATACTTTTCTACACTTGCTTACCAATGAAGAATCTTTATCCTCTCATTTAATCTCATTCAATAGCCTAGCACTTATGTTGCGCGCTCCATGTATGGAGGCTATTAGTCCTCATCACAGCGGCTTTGGGTTGGAATCCGACCTCAGCCCTTTGCTGCATGTCATCTCCCTCTCTCTCCTCTAAACATTTCCTGTCTCTCTTCACCTGTCCTATCTTATAAAGGCAAAAAAACAACAACAGTGTGTCATAATGAGAGAGAACAGGAATCCAGAAGAGTACAAGAACATGGATTGACTCGCTTGTTGTTTTGTTTGGTTTGATTTATGCTCTACATTTGAGCTATCCTGAAAAGCTAAGTGGCTTCTTTGAGTTCACCCAGGTTGGGCTCCTTAATCTTGATGAAGGCCGAAAGCAGCTCAAACCAAAGTTGCAGGCATTGAGAAATCAGCTGGAGTAAATGATCAGCATCTTTGTTGTTTTTCATGTTCCTGATAATTAGTTCCTTGAAAAGAAAAATCCTGCACACTACTAAGTTGCAAAGTATCAAGAATTTATTAGAGAAAAATCACAAAGGGTCAGTCATGGGAGGGATGAAGCTTCATGATTTTTTTCTAATAATTGGTGATACTTAGCAAGAGTAGTGCGCAGGATTTTTACTTTTCAAGCGATTTTTTTTGTTGTCCTATTCACATACTTCACGGGATAGTTGGATGATCCCCTGCTCCGACTGACTACACTCCTGTCATTGACTGAGAGACAGAACATGGACCTCGACATAGATCCTCTGCTTCGGATGCCATCACACCTGTCATTGACTGAGAGACAGAACAACATAGAGAGACCCCGCCCCTGGCACCCGTTCTGAAACCATCCTGGCCTGTGTGGCACCAGGGGCACAACATGTATACTCTTCATGATCACAATGATCATCTTCGCCCCGTGGCTCTGGTATGAACTGCAGACCTCCAAACTCCTAAAGCCACCCCCTACTGATTCCCCGCTCAACATCTCCAAAAGAGACTATGAAACGGCTTATCACACCAACACTTGGTATCAGGCTCTGGTGCTTTCAGTTCAGCGCCTCAACATCTCAGACTCCTGTTGTTTATGGTATATTATGGTCATGTTTCATTTATGTTTTGGGATTTATATTTACGTTCTTCCGTTTTGATATGGTTTGTGTTCTCCTGTATTATTTTCCGTTATTCTGGTTGATTATCTGTAATCAAAAGGGGGGAATTGTAGTGGAAAAATACTGTGCTTACTTATGCTGTTTATTTGTGACCTACATAACCCCAGTCACACTGACTTGCTTTGCAACAGATGATCGCGCATCAGATGGACAGGAGCATCATGTACACTAGGTGCGCTACAGTGAAAGAACACTGAGTGCTAACTCATAGATAACACTAACACAAGAACTTCTGTTGCTCGGTTCCTTTTCTGTGTGCTCAGCATCATTACCAAATATGGCCAAAGTTTATCAATGATTACTGTCTCTGAGCAGAGTGCCTGCTGACGACAATGAACTCTTTCTAGTCATGTATAAATACTCTCCAGAAATGGGACTGCCTTGGGATTCTGCTATGCACTCGTGACCGCTGTCACTTCTGTATCTGATTCCTCCTTTTGCAAAAGATCATTTATTTTCTGCAATAAAATACAGATACAGACAGACAAACGGCTTGACTTGAGACCTTTTATTCATCAAACAGAAAAATCCACGACACAACCATTTAGTAATATTAGGGTGTATTCACACCTACTTTCTTTAGTTCGTTTTAAAATGAACTAAAACCCTGGTGCAGACCTTTTCGGTAGGTGTGAATACAAACCATCAAACTCGGGTGCGCACCAAACAGCCGAACCGAGACCTAGCCGAAGGGGTGGTCTCGGTTCGCGTCCAAATGAAGAAGAAGAAAAAATAATAGAAAATTAGCGACCTTACCAGGATCTAGTTGGTAGACTAATCTGGTCAGTCGGACCGTCTTTGTCTCAGCCCCGCTATGCGTATCCCGTCGCGGGTGAGGACACGCGGAGGGAATCTTCTATCTTTCAGACACTTTCACAGGTGTTTCAGCACTCCTTTCTTTCATTATCCAACACTTTTAAACACACACAGACAATGAACATAACAGCAGCTGCAGAAACGCTTTCCTGGTGCTTCACTTTTCGTTATTTTACCCAGCGTCACTCTTTTCTCCTCACTTTCCCTTGCGCTACATCCTGCCTTTATAACCTCGGTCATATTCATCATAACACCGGTTGATAATTAATAATTTTTACAGACACTCCATTATTAAGTGGCACTGTCACAGTAGCCTATCAAATGCTCTTGCTGCTCAAAATGTTCAATACCAGGAGCATGTAGCACACAAGACCTCCATGATTGTTTACTTTTATTTTGCAATTACCGCTTTACCCCGCCCCAGACCTTTTTGTCCAATGATTGGACACACGTGGTTTTGTTTACAAATTCTTGGCCTCTTCCGAAAAGTGCAATGTGAAAACGAACCGCACCAAACCAAAAAAGAAACAGAACGGACCAAAGAAAAGCGAACTAAAGGACTTTCCTGGTGTGAATAAACCCTTAGTTAAAACCTTAATTAACTTGTAAATCCTTAATTAATGTTAACAAGACACATTTGTGAACAGTTTCTTAATGTTTCTTAATGTTTATTATTGTATGAATTTACTGTTAATTAAGCCTTATTACTGCATTAACTAATGTTAATAGCATTCTTAAAAACACTTAAATAATGCATTTATTAATACCTTAGTTAACATGAACATCCTTAGTAATTGATTACTAGACACATTAGTTAACTGTTAGTAACCATTAGTTAATGCTTAATAATGCATTAACTAATGCATTAATAGTTAATTAATGTACCCTTATTGTAAAGTTTAACCAACACATCTATGTGTTAAATACCCAAAATTAGTAGTTTTTAAGATACATTAATATTAATTGATCCCCAGAGAGGATGTTCAAGTAATCTACATCTATCAGGTTTTCTGTCCCTTACTGGGCAATGTAAATACAGATTGCTTCACTCAGCTGGTACCCTACAATGGCTAAAAACACAAACTGCAAGTTTGATTGTAGTTGTTTTTGTCCATTTTAATATCACGTGTTTTTGCTATGAACTTACTTTCAACAGTGCAAGTCACATTGAATCGGATCTTTCCAAATCAGATTTGGGCAGCCAGGTTCCAATGCATGCAACTTTGATGTCACTCACGAATGACACAACAGTTCTGCACTGGCACGACGGGGGATGAGAAGTCACTCACACTCAATGGAACAAACATGGAAGATAGTTGGCATAGAAGAAGTCACAGGAGGGAAACTAATTTGTGTTAGATCTTTTAGGAATTTGGGATACAATTTGTACAAATAAAACTTGAGGGGTCATATTTTTACTGACTGACTGAAAGAAATGGCTGAACGTGGCCACAGAAGAGTGTGGCTGCAGTGTCAATTCAAAGTGAAAAGCCTTCAAGCCAGGTTAAAAGAAGCTGGCTTTGTAATGGGTGTGAAATCTTTGATGTTATTGTTCTTTTGTGCATGCGGGTCAGTTCAGAATCATGAACAGTTCAAATGGGAATCAGATATATGTCACATTTAAACAGTACTGCGAACAGCCGAAAAATAATTATTATACAGAACTCTGCAGTAAATCAGAATTGATTATTAAGGTTTACAGTGTGAATGGAGTCTCGTACATTTGGACTGAATTTCCTATAAGTGGACAGCCACTGCATCCTTGCTGTTCCTTGTCCCTGTTATTCACTGGATAGTAGTCTTACATGTGTTTTTCATTTTCACCTCACTGTTTGTGAATACCCTGTATACATTTCTTTAATCACAACATAAATTGTGTTAAGGGCACTTTGAAACACAAACCATCCCTCCTAGTTGATGTCTAATGCTACGAATACATAATGCTGTACCTTGCAGAAGCAAATTGTTAGGGAAAACAGAGACACAAAAGCATACAGGAAACTTTAGTAGCATATTGGTTTGCATTGTGGGCTCTGCTGGAGACCCAAGACTTTCCTTGGTCCACATGAAACTGTATCTTCTGTTTGTAGTAGCTCAACACAGCACTACATGTATCAGCACCACCACTCCTTTGAAACTCATCAGGACTCCTCAGCAATCAGCTTCTGGAAAAGGAAAACAAAATTGTCCAACAGATAAAGAAGAACATCAAGAGCTTAATAATGTGATGCATGGGGAGAGAATACTTAACCTGCTGTCTCAAGGCCTGCATGGATGTGTACTCAGTGTGCTCTCTCTTTTTTTTGATCCAGTCTGGTTCATCAGGGATCAGAACTGCCAAAACCAACTTAACCAAGATCAGCACATGCTGCAAACAATGATGTTGAAATATCAGAGAAGCACACAGAAATTGTATTATTTTAAAATTGATTTAATTAAAGACTACTTTGAATTCCTTCTTACCTCAACCAAGACAGCTAACAGTATAGTTTTTGTGCTGCTAATTCCACCCTCCAGAAACAGCTTTTGTAACTGTGGTGACAGCAGCAGTAGCCAGCAGTTTGACATGACAGAGACAAAACTCAGGACCTCAAAAGCAGTCTTGAACACAAGAGAATGACATGAACAATTCACTCTTGATTGGCAGTACTGACAGTATATAATTTGAATTGTACATGATGTTTTCTGCTGACCTGCCACACGCCCAAGTTAGTCACAGGTTGGGAGAAGGGTTTTCGAAAGAGTTTGCAGATTTTGTAGGCATCAGCTCGGATCTCTGTCAAGTTGTTGATGAGCAATAGCACTGCTGTCAGAGGATACACGCAGGAGAAAAAACTCAAATACCCAAACTGCACCAGGAGCTCGATGTACTCTGCAAACAGGCCCTTAGTAAAAAAAAAAAAAAAGAATGTGTCAAACAATGCAAGTTTTTCACCCGACCCTCTCTAAATACTGTATACTGTATACTCACAGGAAAAAACAGGCATGGTGCCTTGCTTCCTAAATTTATCTTCCTGTGGTTCGTCTTCACTGTCTGTCCTGTGAGTGACACTGATGAACTTATCCACCAGTAAAGGTATGACCACCTCTGTCACCTGGTTCACCAGCTGGCTCACTATCAGCAAAGATCCTAGACGCTTTAGACAGAAAAAGAATAATATGTGAATATATTGCTTTTCACAAGGCCTTTCCATTCATTGACTTTAAAAAATACACTTTACACTCATTACAAAGTGGACGCCAATAGCATCATGGGCCTAGTTTGTCCAAAAAGATTAATGTGGATCAGAATAGTTATCTTATGTAAGGGAAATCCAGATCAATGCCAGAAGATACGTCTGGAATCCTATTCTAACACTTCGAAGTTGTCATCCCTTGGTGAAAAATGGGCATAGAAATGCATACACTTATAACGGATAGAGATATCGTGAGAGTAAGCATGTTGGTGTTGCAATGTCTGACCAGCACATCATGGGGTGGTTGGTAGACATTGTCCAATATGACACACAGATTAAACAGCATCCTCCTCACTGACACCAGCTCCATCCCCACAACATCACAGGCCTTGTGGATCAGTTTGTTGAGTCTGTTGTAGTCATCTACCCTCAGCCTGCTGCCCCAGCACACAACAGCAAGCACTGGCTAACTCAGACTCATAGAACATCCTAAGCATTGAGCCTGCAGATGTTAAAGGACATAAGCCTCCTCAGGAAGCAGAGGTACAGGTCCTTCTTGTAGATGGCCTCAGTGTTCTTTGACCCGTCCAGTTTATTGTCCAAGTACACTCACAAGCTGATCACTCTGTCTGACACAGTGTTTAGGTGCACATACTGTGGCCTGCCAGCCAGGTAGTCAGCAAACCAGAATCAGAGATGAGAATCCACCTGCATCACTGTCAGCCTACACCCATTAGAAGTCGGCCTGATGGCGTAGAAAGCACTGGAGTATTAAACAAAAAAGACCCTCACAGTGCTGTTTGGCTTGTCAAAGTGACTCGGTTCAGTAGGAAGATGATGGCCTCCTTACAGTAACTCCTGTTGGGTTAGTAGGTGAACTGAAGGGGAGCTAAGAGGGGCCTAACCATCGGTCAGGGTAAATCTATAGAGTCTTCATGGGATGTCAATTCCACTGGTCTGTAGTTCTTGAGGCCACTAGGGCTAACCCTGTTTTCTCCATGATGAAATAATGTTTGTGCCCCACCAAGTAAAGTCACAACATGATAATGTTTTTAATATTATTAGCTATAATGATAAATTCAGACAGGTGCTGATTATGATTTGACTTTTCAGATAATACCCAGAAGCAACAATTGTTAATTATTAATTATCATGAATCATTACTATTAATTACAAGTAAATACAGCCAGCAATTCACAATAAAACTGAGTTTGAAGCCTGAATATCAGTGATGACTTGAGAAATTATTTAAAATAATGTATTTTAGATAGGCCCTCAAAAAAGAGAGAACAATCAGAGGTCATATCCCTGAAGTTTGGCAGGGTTTGTCAACAGGTCCTAAGGGATTAGACCTCTGTTTTTTCTCTTGTTGAGGGCATTTCAAAGATAAAAGTTATTTTTCAATTATTTCTCAAGTAATTCCTGGTAGTCACTAGTCAGGCTTGTAACTCAATGGGCTTGGATCAGTGATATCACACTGACAAGACGTCACACTGGCAAAATTTTTTCGAGGGGGCTAGAACCGAGTGTTACATGCAGCTAATGCTGCAGCTAACAGGGGGACGTAGGAGAAGCCACGTTTACGCGGACTTTGAATTTTTGCACAGGATACATGGAAAACATACTAAAGAGCATATAAAACCAGAAAAAGCATAATATGGGCCCTTTAAGGCACTGTGTTTTGGATCATTAGGATGATCTATCAGGTAAAATGATTAACTCAGATAGACGATAATGAGAAGTTAAATAGGTTAAAATAAGTGTACATTGTCAGTCGCATTCTGAGTATCTGTTTTAATGTACAGTAGCGGGAGGCTTGGCAACTTCAATTCTAATGCACAGCCAGGGTTTTCATTCTGGTTCATTTTATTCTTGATCGGCGCCTTGTATTAGCTGTGTACAAATCACTAAACCTGGAATAAAAATTGTATGAATAAGTAGGCTAATAAACAAAATTCGTGAATAAATATAAATTAAATTAACAACCTTGTATAATGGGATACTGTTGCTTGAAAATCAATGCACTTTAATATCGGGTAAATTTACTGCTGGCTTTTGCAGAGCTGCTTCAGGACTCTAGCTGAACAGTTAGGAATGTAATTATTCATACATTGATCTCAGACCAAGAACAGGTACTATATAAAACCTATTCACATGTACTTTTACAGACAGAAAACATACAGCGCACGGAGGAGCTGGGACGATGAGGAGAAAAAAAGATTCTATAATCATGATTAAACCCTACATGTCCGAAAATACAAATTTACATGTAGCATTACTTTTAGGAGGGTGTTGATACAGTAGACTATTTCTCACAGAGAGAGAGAGGCCTAGGCATGTTAGACTGACGCATACAGTATTAAGCGCAGCTGTTTTCAGATACAGTATTACGCGCAGCTGTTTTCAGATACAGTAATCACTTTAGCTTCCATAATCACTGCTCCTCCTGGTGGTTAGATTAACGGTTGCAACTTTTTTCCACAAGAGACTCTTAGGGGCGTTATTTGACTATGTCATCAACTACGTCACCGTGGGGGATCTCATTAGAGTCACGGATCCTGCACGGTCCAAGGACCCAGCACGGTACGGTCGAGGTCCCACCACGGAAATGGTGGGCGTTATTTTTGGCTCCATCTGTAAGCCATAACATAAGTCATTAAGGAGTTAAACAATAAATGCATATATTATTCATAGCAGCTAATTAATTACTCACTATGTTAATCATGTAGTGGCTGATTAATGTATGGCTTACTTCTTTTTAAATCATACATTAACTTGTGATTTTGGGCAATAATTTAGCAGTGATACATGCAAATGAGTAGAACAGGATTGTTAAGTGTTCCTACACAAGCGCATATTTTTGGTGAACGTTGAATTGAACGTGTCAGTTTAGTACATCTGTAGAATACATCCCAGGCCTAAAAAAAAAAATAAAGCCGAAAAAAAGGTTATTTAAAACTACAGTTGAGAAAACATGTCTTCGTCCTTCTTGTATAGAAGTGATCCTTATGAGACAAATAAAAGCCAATAATTTTTTATCGTATACAGTAAACTGACAACGAACTGCAGTCAGGTCAAAACACCGTAGAAGAAGACGAGCATGCAGATGAGCTTCCTTGAGATGGTTTCAGACATTTTGTGCAGAAATTCTTTGGTTATGCAAACCATTTGTTTCATCAGCTGTCAAGGTGGTTGTCTTAGACTATTTTACAGGTGAAAATGCCAGGTCTGGATGTCCAGGGCTGGCGTGGTTACAAGTGGTCTGCCTAATTCTCTGAAACTACTTTGGAGAAGGCTTATGGTAGAGAAATGAACATTCAATTCACAGGCAACAGTTATTCAGGACATTACTGCCTGACCTGTCTTGAATCAGCCTTGATTAGATAAGGCTGGATTGTTTTAGTGGAATGACTTGAGGCTTAATTGGGAGATGGCGCTAGTTTCAGCCTGTATTTTTTAGCTGAGCTTGGCTTTCTTTAGCCACCTTGATGGGATACCCCCCAGATCACATGTGGACAGACTTAAGCAAAGGTATACCCAATTGGTCTTGAGGACAGATTGAGATCCGATAACAGAATGTATACGTGGTCTGGGAAGCATTTGTCAATATTGATTTGGACAGTGCTGTTTTCAACTCTGTTATCAGGCTTATTAATCAAATAAAGTTTTGTTGCAGTCTATAATGGTTTCTCTGTACAACTTGTGCCCATAAGAACATCTCTCTCCCTCTGTGTGCAGCATGTGTGCATCTAACTTGTCAATGGAGATGCATATGGAGAGTACTATCTGGCCAGGTGTAAACCAAAGACTGTAAATAATAGCCTGAGTGATGTCACCCATTCTACAATTCTACAATTCACTTAGCAGACGCTTTTATCTAAAGCGACACACATCAGAGAGAAAGTACAACACAAGCAAGGATCTAGAAAAATGAGACAATGTCAGTAAGTGCAAACGATCAGCTTTGAGTCCGATTGGTAGTTGTTGGTTAACTTAAAAAACAACGACAAAGGTTGGAGTTCAAGCAATGATTATTCTTTCTTCTAAAAGGGATTGCATTAGCTTGACATACTTTGAAGCTCCTTGATAGCACATCAATTCCTTGATAGCACATCAGAATGGGTAAGTAGCTATTTCATTTGTAGAATCTCAATGCTCTGGTGCTGTAGCTTATAAATGAATCAGCCATTATGCATAAAATGGGGGCAAAGATGGCACCTTTCTATGCAAATGAACCTCAGCCACACACAATTAGGCTTAAATTATTAGCGTCCTCAGAGACTGTTGTATTTTGGCACACAAAATTGGGTTCAAATACACCATAGAGTTGTTGAATTGTATTACTATATCACTTAGTTACCTGTTTGAAGATCAGTCTAAAACTTTAGTGTTAGCTGTTACCTTACAGAGCATTGGTATATCCTGCTTGAAGAATGCAATGTGGAAGAGTACTGCAAAGTAGTTGAAGAAGGTGAACTGGAGGAAGAGAGAAAACAATCTGCTAAAACAGTCTTTAGAGTAGTAGTAATGTAATAATAATAATAATAATAATAATAATAATAATAACAATAAGTAGTAGTAGAAGTAGAAGAAGAAAGAGATAATTAATGAGTAAGGGAACTAACCACCAAGACTTTGGCTGTCAGATGATTCTCAAAGGCAGATTCCTCTCTGTGGTTCTCTGAAGAGGAAAAGATAATTATTAGCTAACCACATGCATAATGAACAAAATGTTTCCTTTATTGATTGGCAAATGCCATCAGCTAACTTTTGCTTCTTTTTTTGAATGTTTCCCTCCCGTTCCCTCTCCATCCACCTTCTCTGCATCTTTGCCACAATACTTACTGAATGCTCAATAAGATATAGAGAAAAATAATATTTCTTATGTTTTACATTTTTTTTCCATTCACTCACCATATTCAGTCAGAGACAGTGCCACCTTCTTGTAAATGGTTGCGAGAACATTTGTAAAGACGATGTGAACCACTGAGGGCATGTAGAGAAAAGTTTGAGACAGCAGGGAGTCCCAATCTTTATGTAACTTTTGCATCTTGGCCTCCCCCCAGTAGAAACAAAGCATACCCAGTACCACCAGCACTGTCGAAAAAAGCATGATAGGGAAGGAAACATGAGGCCTTTAGGAATGGGAAGAGATCTTGCAAAAACAAATTAGGGTAGAAGAGCATATGTTTCTGGAACCTATTTCTTTACACTCTTCTGTATCACTAAATGCTTAGTTGACTTACTTATGACTTTGAGGTTACAGCAAATTAATGAAGAACATGGAACCTTTAGTAACATTAACATACACTGGTAATGAGTTTATTCAATTCAAATAAAAAAGTCAAGTTGTACCTAGAAACAGCCCCACCACTGGGATTGACACTAGTGCGATACGTAAGTCCCTCCGCCATTCAGGAAAGAGTGGTTCCACACGACTTGTCACAGGGTTGACCCCAAGTACGCCATGGTAACCAGGCCTGGGCTCTGCAAAGTGTTCTGCTAGTTGACTGGTCCCCCAGCGGTAGGAAGAGGAAGAGCTCCGTCGCTTCCACAACTCCATAACCACTGTAGACCAGAGCATGCTGAACACAGCCTGGATCACGTGACTGTAGCCCGCTGGTCCCAAGTAATCTCCACGAAGTTTTACCCCTGAACTCGAGATTGACTCCAACATGTCATTCTGAACGTCCCCTGTGATGGCCAAAGATGGAAATGGTAAGCGCTTTTCTAGTCTTACGACTACTCAAAGCGCATTTACACTGCATGTCACACCTACCCATTTCACACACTGATGGTCGCGGTCGCTATGTAGTATGTAGCTAGTATGTAGTATTAGCTAGTATATTTTTTACAGGACTCATACTGGTTTATTATATGTTTATCTACATGTATAATTTACAAAGTGTGACTGAGCATCCCAAAAACTGAGGCACTGACATGGGGACTCACACTGGGCTGGACCTTGAAAAGCATAATGGTGGTCAAAAAGCTGTTTTTACAAGGAAAATATTCCATTCATACAGAATTATCATCTTGAGTACAAATGATTGTTGCATTACAGTCAGCTGTTGATCTAGTTTTAAAGGTCACATATTACTCAAAATACACTTGGGTATGTTTTTCTTACACTAATATGTGTCCCTAGCCTGTATACAAACCCCCCAATTATTAGAAAAGTCAATCCCCTCTGCCTTTTGCCTGCTCCACTTTTCAGTTAATGTCAGCTCAAACAGGTAATTTGGAGATTTTCCCTTTGTGACATCACAAAGGGAAAATCACCTAGCTGTTTGTTCTGCCCTCTGGGTCTGCCTTCTCACCGTAAACACTAGGGTATGGTCAAAAGAAAGCCCATGCAACATCCCCTTCCAGAGGGGCGTGGTGAAACACAGCTCACTTGCATTCAAAGCTATAGAGACAGAAACAGCCAGTTCTAAGCAGGGCTGATATAAAGGGGTTTATGGGCATGATAAAATAGAAGATCCGAGTGGATTTTTTGCAAAGAAACTTATCTGACATGTTTTAGGGAGTTCTGAGACTTATTTAAAATTGTTGAAAAGGAGTTTAATATGTGACATCTAAAGATACAGGGAGTTGATAAAAATGATTTGATTGCCAGATTTATAGTAGATTATATTTAATCTACTCTAGTCTCATTGTTATCTTTTGGTGTATAGCATATCTTTCAGTGAAAATGGGGACGCTGATTTGTATTAGAAATCTTAATATTTCAGTAGCCTTCTTTGTTTTATTTTCTGTTAAGTATGTGCTCTCAACAAATTAAAAAATGCCTTTGAAGTATTAAATCACATAAAGTTTGAAGGGAGTTGTGGTGACAATATATATTTTTATCATTGTGCAATAGAATCATATATATCTATGTTTATATCTATGTATTATGCCTCAAATCGATTTTTAAAAAATCACAAATTCACACACCTACCTGAAAAGTATGTTATCAACAGGCCAAGCATTGCTGGTGGAAGCAGAGACCAGGTGTAGCAATCAAGAAAACTGAAGTACAAAGCCACTGAGCTTCCAAAATACTCATTTATTGAATCTGGTAGAAGCAAGAGACAATCTTTGTTAGTCTGTGCAAGGCTCCATTATCTTTCTAGCACACAAAAAATGCATTCATCTCTTGTCAATTCGACTCCTGAATTGACAAGAGATGAATGTGGAAAACCTGGAAAAACATTTGATTTAGACTTTGAATATACAGTATATATGCATCAGATTCTGTATGTGTGTGTCCATAAAAGCGTGTGTGTGTGTGTGTGTGTGTTTGTGTGTGTTTGTGTGTGTGTGTGTGTGTGTGTGGGAATACTCAAGGAAAAGAATAAATGTAAATTAGGTTGCCAATCCTAAAATCACTCTGAAGCAGGATTGGTTACATCGATGTGATTGGATCTACTACTGCTGCCTTTAGGCGGTGGGCCGTAAACTTGTATCTGCTTTAGTTCTTAAAAATAACGATCTTCACCAAGGGAGGTTCCAGGTTTCTGAAGTTGTGCAGATTGTTAGCCATTCTGAATTCTTGTTCATTTTTCTAAAAACATGATGGATGCAAAGTTTGTAAAGCAGAAAAAGGCCTCTGCCTACTATCTCGTTTGAACCAATAGCAGGCTACGATTCCGACATGTGTGAGGAATCGATTGCTTCTGTCTGGGTTTCCAAATTGATCCATCCTGCTTTAGAGTGACGTCAGGGTTGGATATGGTCAGCAACAATGCTCCGGTAGGCTGTGGCATTTAAATGTTGCTCAATTAGTACACAGGGACCTCGGTTGAATTGAGGGGTTATTTTTTGAGTTACTGTTGCTTTTCTATCAGCTCAAACCAGTTTGGCCATTCTCCTCTGACCTCACTGGATATTTTCTCTTTTTCGGACCATGCTCGGTCAACCCCTTGAGATGGTTATGTGTGAAAATCCGAGTAGATTAGCAGTTGCTGAAATACTCAGACCAGGCCGTCTGGCACCAACAACCATGCCACGTTCAAGGTCACTTAAATCAACTTTTTTACCCATTCTGGTACTCGGTTTGAACTTCAGAGGATCGTCTTGACCATGTCTACATTGCTAAATGCATTTAATTGCTGCCATGTGATAGGCCACCCCCATAGTGTGTGTGAGCGCGCTTGCATATGTTGTATTTTCACCCACCCAGTGGCTGAGACAGCTGATTCCCTGAGTACCAGGCTTCACTGAGATCCCTCAGTTTGTCTTGGTTGTGGAGGGGAAACATGTCCTCAATAACACCTGCTGACCCAAGTTTCCTCCCTGCAACAATAAAATTAATGAATTAATGAATGATGATTTGCATTGCACCAAATGAAAAAAAAAACACACACAAAAAAAGACATCAACAAACATGTGGGCCAGCTCAGAATAGCATGATTTTCTTATTTCCATTTCTTTACTGAGTAGCTTGAGTATATGGGTGAGGGAAAATTAGTTTTCAAAGCAGAAAACGATTTATCCTGACTTTTAAAGCTACATACACAAAAACATTAACACCAGGCTACAAAGCCTACAATGACAAATAATTTGTTGATGAAATGTCAAAGAAAGCCAAAATAGCTAAAATTACACTTTAGACTTAATTGTCCCAATGGGGGAATTTCTTTTAATGGCACGTTTCTGTCCAACAAACAATACCCACCAAAAAACAAGACATCCACAAAACACAGTGTATAAAACAAAGTTAAACAACAATCAAGTTACTGCTCCGCTCTGTTCAGCAAGGCCTTTTTTTCAGGGCAGCTATATCAGAAGGGATTAGGCAGAAACAGGAGATAGTGCACATATGGGAGCTGACTTAATGTGGGGACAATTGGTGACCACGGTTGGTGAACACCGCAGCATATTCTCCGGAGAATTCACCTCGAGCCAATAGGAAGAGAATGACGTTTCTATACAGTGACAGCTGCACGGTGCATAAAGTGTCTGCACGTTTATTGTTTATTGATTTTGGGCCATTCTCTGCTCTTAAGAAAAAAAAATGCTTTGTTAAGACTGAAGTCGACCTGGGCTGCTGGCTTTCTTGGGGGTGGGAAGAGCGGGGTTCACTTATCATGTAGTGTCTTGGTCCCCTTAGACCAGGGACATAACACTTGGATAATGTAAAAGAATATACAATTACATTACATATAACAAATTATAGGTATTCAACCTGATGAATGTTTTTAAAGTAATGATCATGTCACTCCTTACTAAAGTTAACACACAGTGGAAGCACTCACATATGTTATCTCTGTGTTGTAGTGTGTAGCTGTCAGGCAGGCCGGGTATTCTCAGGTCTCTCTGTGCCCAGAGCCCATCCAGCTCATATTTCACTATGTACTGTCGCTCTGCAAGGGTCAGGAAAATCTCCATGTCGTCTGTTACACACATTAATAGACAAAGACATATCCCAAGAAATTGTTTAAGTCACTGCATTTAAGAAAAACCTATCCAAACAGATTAAACGTAGCAATTTTTAATTGTTTTGACAACACATGCATAGCCTTAAGCATACAATGCAACCTGTTACTCCGAAGATCAGGCCAGTGCCTTGGCCATCTCATACTGAAAAAAATACTGTTGGTATCACTGTTGGTGCATGCTTCCTATTTTCCAGGCTATTCAAACAAATAATTTTCAACACAGATGTTGGGCTGTATTATGCTCTGATTTAAAAAAATCTATAAACCCCTAAAAGACATAGTGACAATTCCACAACTGCAGGGAACCTTTTTTGGAAAAGGAGGATGTAAAACTACCTCAAAATAAGCCAGCTAGAAACTCTTAGAAGAGCCCTACTGCACACAACAAGCAGGAAATATATTGTGCACCTGACACTGGCACTCACTTATTTCTTATTTTTTATGGCTCAGCAACTGTTGGATCAGAAATAGAAGAAAGAAAATACTTGCAGTTATGTCTATGAATTATTTCAACCCCAACAACATGCCTTAAAACTTAGAAATCTGAGAAACTTAGACATTAACTTTACTTGTCACCAATGAATTTTCACCTCAATTACATATATGATCCTACACTTCATTCTCCTTGTATATGTTAAAAAACTTTAGTACACATCCTCTTTGTTATGGTTTTAACATGGAAATACTGTTCATGAATATGTTAAAAACCCTATTGATGTACCTGAATTTTTGAAGTTGTGTCTGTTCTTGTAGGAGAAGGCTTCCATGTTATCATCCTGGTAAATCCTACAAAGTCCTAACTCCTCAGTGGCTTTAAGCAATGTACAGCATGGGGCAGAAACCATAATGATGTCGCCACTGGCATCCTCACCTGGGTGGGCTAGCAATGCAGCACCTGGGGTAATACAGTTACAGAGGGTGTATTTGCACTGTTTTATGGTCAAGTCAACTTTATTTATATAACACATTTCATATGACAAGCATCGACACAATGTGCTTAAAAATAGATATAGTAGACAACAAACATGATAACAACATGACAAAAACATAAGACAGAAAGAAAAAGAAAAAAACACAAAAATGCATTAAATGAAACCACAACACAATAAATAAATATTTAAATAGAAATAAAATGTCCTAGATAGTGCAAGATATATTCCAAACATTAATGATTTATCCAAAAGCTTGTACAAATAGATAAGTCTGCTTTTAAAAGAAGACACATTTGTATCAGCTATTTGTTCATGTGGTAAAGAATTCCAGAGAGTTGGACCATAAATGCTAAAAGCACCATGAGCTGATCTGGAATTAATTTTGGGTAAGTTTAAAGGACGTTTATTTGACGATCTGCAGGACCTGTCTGGAGTGTACTCAGTCAGCATGTCAACTACATAGGAGGTAGTGGTAACACTTTACAATAAGGTACACAAATTTTGCATAGTTCCTAGGAAACAAATGGGAAACTAATCACAAGGTAACCACTTAGTAACCACTAGGTAACCCGAGGCTTTGCCTAGTTCTACCCAAAATGACCCAGGGCTATCAAAGAAATCGTCTGATGTGCCAAAATGTAAACAAATAAAAATAAAAGTCAGTGTATATGGCGCAATTTGATCTATTTCTTCGTCTGAAAAGTGGGCTGCTTCATTTGTACCTGCATCAATTGCAACCCGACACAATTGAAAATTCATTTAATTTCATCATTCATTATGTAGCTGTGCTGGGATACATAACGATGCTGACCAGGCTTGCAGCGTCACTTTTTAACGTCTTTTCTCTTTCATGAGATAATAACGGTGCATATAAAGAAAATGGTGATATACTGTTCAGTAAATAAAGCTTGCAGTGGACTGATGGAAAAGACCTGGTTAAAGTTAAGAGAGACCAGCTCAACTACCGTACTGTAGCTAGTATGAGTGCAAACTCCACAAAGAGAAAACAAATGGTTATAAAAAGAGCGACACAGCTGCACAGAAACTGCACGAGGTAAACTTTCGCTGAACACTGCATAGCGACCACTACCATCAGTGTGTGAATGGGTAGGTATGACATGCAGTGTAAAAGCGATTTGAGTTGTCGGAAGACTAAAAAAGCGCTATATAAGCTCAAGTCCATTTACCATTTACCATCCATGGGGACGGCTGTTCGGAATTCCCGTCAGCAGCACTGTATAAGTGCGATCATTTAGTCAGGCAGTGATAAGGAGCTTCTGGGGTCCTTAACGTGTGATCTGCTCTTATTCTTTTTTCTGGACTGTTGATGACTGAGCAGGATTTCACGGGAGGAGAGAGGACCATGGAGGAGTTTGAACGAAGCAGCAGGAAGAAAGGAAAAAGATTAAAAGAAGCGAAATGTCAAGTTATAGGGAAGTAAATGAAAATGAGACAGAAACCTTTTTGATTTTCAATAAAACTGACTGATAAAGACAACGACTATGGAGTTTTTGTCAGACAAACATGAAGTAGTGAGTTGGGTTAGGAGTAAACTTTATGCTGTCAAGTTAGTTGATGTGAAAAGGAGTAGATTAATTGTTGTCGAGTGTGTCACAGACGCAAGTAAACAGGGCTTTGTCATTGAAGCAATTAGATGACCACAACGTGTCATGTTTTCGGCTATGTAGAAGAGCTCCTATTAAGGGAGTAATGGACAGAGTGTCACACATGGTTGATGCAGGAATGTTTAAAGAGTGTAAACGAGTGGTAGACAGTCACATAATGTTCAGGATGATTGATGTAGAGAGATGTCCGACAAAATAAGTCATGTTGCACTTTGAAACTGAATGCTTGCCAGATAGTGTTCTTAGATTACGTCAGTTATCCAGTCAGTATACATCATTTAGGATTTGTAGTAAATGTGGTGATGAAATGTGTCGTGGCAAAAATGAATGAAACAAAATGTAGTCTGTGTGGGGGAGGGCATAAGGCCTGGGGAGCAGACTGCCCAAAGAGAAGGAGAGAGATGGAAAGTATAAAGTTGAAATCAAAGAGAAAGCCAAAACACAAGTGAAAAAGAAAGAAAATGACTTCAACCCCAGGAAACAGGAGTCTGATAGAGACCATCAAGAGTACTGTTTCTGTAACGACAGGATAATGTTTTTTGCCTTCTTGGCAATGGTGATTAACTCTGCTGCTGAAGCTGAGAGAAAGTCAGAGAGAATTGCAATTTTTGTCAATGCAGCAAAAACATTTCTTGGATAATGAGGGAGTTACTGGAGAAGAGATGCAGGGGCTGCTGAGAGAGGCCTTCAGGCCCTCAGAGTCTAGAGTAGGCTAGTTTAGACGTACAAGACGGTGGAATGAGGGATGGGGAATGAACATTATTCGTTTTTTATTTTTTCCTTATTCACAAGTTTATGGTATTCAAAAGATTGTAGATTTATTTTGAGCCAGTAGTAGGCGGTAATGCAACACTATGGATACCAACTGCCTTTAAAATCAGACGAAGAAGAAGTAGATGACTGAGCAGCATATGAGTACATGAGCACATGTAAGTTTTTTAAATACGTTAATTGCCTTTTTTTGGCTGATTCGACATGTTGAATCGGCGTCTGCGGTCAGTAAGAGGGATCTCTCTGACTGGCTGTTCAGAGGTTTCATTTATCTCCAGCTCTCGACACAGGTTCGGGAAAGCCCCTTGAGCATGCTGCTGTAAATCCATGCTTTCACCCATTAGTGCGGTTTCTCCTTATTTGTCGCCTCTGCCTCTTCTTTTCTTTTTCCACTAAGATCACACATTATTCTCGATGAGTAGGCTACCTATAATATAAGTGGTGTGCGACAGCGGTGTAAATGGTCTTCTCGTATCATAACAACAAGCTATCACCGCCCCTCACGCATGCGCAGAATGTACGCGGTTGTTGGCCGCCGGCTGTAGTCTTTGCGGTGTGTTCTAGTGCAATTTTTTGGCCAAGACGTGAGGCGTCGCCACTAGTTATTTGCCGTCTGCTTGGTGTGTCAGGTCCTTTATAGAACCATATTTACATACTTTGCATTTGCAATCAATTTGAAATTACTAAACTGAGACAAGAAAGCAACTCTCCTGTCAAAAATTGTCTCTCAGTGTGAAAGAGAGAGTGAATTTATCATAATGGTTTGTTATGTATCTCAGCAATGAAGTTATGAATGTCGACTAGTGACCTCTGCAGATCTCAAATAGTTTATACTTTTTAATTATTACTCACCCCCATCTTTCTGAGGAGCTCCTATCAGTCTGATGAGCCACCTTTTTGTCTCAGGGCGAACATTCTCTCCAAGCTTCACCAAAACCAGTGGCTCCACCTTCTTGGATGTACAGCAGGGGCAACTTGCTTTAGTCCAGCCTGGTCCAACAGAACTAGCACTCAATTTGCTAGGAACATTCAATGTTTGGGTCTTATCCTCTTGCTGTTTTGCTGTTTCGCTTCTGCTGCCGCTGCTACCTTCATCACCACTTGTCCTACGCATGGTTAAACTGAAAGAATTACAAAAGTTTTAGTTTGCCATATGTTTGCCACATGTTGCCAGTCTACTTCTGCTGGATTAGTACTGGACACTCAAAAGTAGATTTGACACCGTTGACCAAAAAACACTGCTTTCTGTTTCTGTAAGACTTTATTTATCCACTAATTAGCGTGTTCAGAGAAGTGAGTGAGCTTAGCTAGTAAACTCTGTGATCAGCAG